CTGGGTCGGGGGCGGTTGGGCCGGGGGCGTCGTGGCATAGCGGCCTCGCCCCTTAGATGCGGCAGAGGCAGAGGCGGGTCCCGCACGGTGCGCCGGCTTGGCGACGGCCGACTTGAGTGCACACGCCCCGGCGGGTCGACTGCCGCGGACGCGCTCTTTGGCGGCGAGCTGCGCCGCCTCCACCACCCCTGCGAGCGCGGGAGGGGTCAGCGCAGCGAGGGTGGCGAGGGGGAGGCTTCACGGACGGTGGGGCGGAGGGAAGCGCACTCTTGTTGTGCTGCTCGAGCTCCGCGAGCAGGTTCCGCGTCTCCAGGTCCCCCCTCTCGCCGCCGAGGCCGTGCTGCCCAGCCGCCGCCGGTGCCGCCGCCGCCGCGCCTCCTCCTCCCCTCTCGCGGCCGGAGGACCTGCCGCCGCATGGGCGCAGCCGAGAGCCTGCCGCCGCCGGGCTCTCGATGCGCCGCCCTCGCATCGCCCGCTCGGCCTGGCGCTCCTCCGGCGTCTGAAGCCCCGCCGCGCCTGTCGACCGCTTCGCCATGCTTCGCCCGGCGAGGCTGCTGCCACCCTTGCCGCACTCCATCGAGCGGCGCGCATGCCGCGGCGGCGGCGGCGGAGCCGCCCCGCGCACCGGCGACACGTGGGGGGCGCTGGCCGCCTCCACCCTCTCGGAGAGTGACATCGAGGGAGCTGGCGACCCCACGAGCAGCGGCCGCAGCGGCGCCGGCGGCCCAGCCTCATGCAGCGGGTGCTCGGCGTCAAAAAACGAGTCGTCCAGCCCGGCGAGCGATCCGGAGCCGGCCGCGTCGGCAGAGAGGTCGTAGTACTCCCTCGGAGCCTCCAGCGTCTCGAGTAGCTGGTCGAGGTCGTCCATCGCGGTCGCGGTGGCGCAGGAGGAGGATTGATTTTCGAAGAGCATTCGAAACGCAGCCAAAAAGAAATCTGCCTCTGCCTGAAGTGCTCGTGCCGCCGCCCCTGCCACCCCTGTGTCAGTGTGCCTGTGGTAGGAGAGACTGCCAGCGACAAGCTGGAGGCAGGTCGCTAGACTGAGATGAGACCGCCAGTGGATGTGGGAGTCCACCGCGCACCGCGCTGCGAACCTGTCGTGAAACGAGGGATGGGACGAGGACAGGGTCCCCACCTGCACGAGCAGGATTTTGGAATATTGTTTAAATCTTTGCGTTGTTGAATTCTTTTCTCTGCCCACAATTGCGAAGGCTCAGCGGGATCTTGCCAAATGCTGGTCGCTGCGCTGACGTCTTCGCCCGCCCTTGTGGCTCCGGCCGTGGCGCCGCTCTTCGCCAAGCCGAAGCTGGCGCTCGCGCCGCACTCCGATCAGTTTATCGAGCTCTCCTCGCTTTGTAAAGAAAGAAAGAAAACGGACAACCCAAGTGAGCAACAACCTTTGTGCTAGGTGCGAATTCTTTTTCACGCGGTGCTGCAGCCGGCCTCGTGCCGCTGACAAGTCGCCGCACTGTGAGGGCGTGCGATGGCGAAGAGCATTCGTTCGAAGGTCAAGAAGCGGCTCCGGTCCGTCAAGCGCACCGTGATCAAGAAGCAGCGGCTCGACCCCGCCTCTAAGCTCGGCGAGGGCGGAGCCAAGGCGCTCGAGATTCTGCAGGACGCCAAGTCCGGCCACCTCCGGCCACGTGTGTGACGCCCGTTTCCTCCCAACCCGGCCCGCAAGACTCCCTGCGCCCGGTGTGCCCACGCCCTCCCTCCACTGCGCGCAGCCAGCACGACGAAGAACGCGTTCCGGTATGACGGCGAGGATGCAGTCATCCCGCAGCACAACTGGAGGCAGGGGCCGGATTTCCGGTCGAGCTATGTCGGCTTCGAGGCGGGCTATGCGCTGGTGGGCGCGTCGCGCCCCAAGCTCGGCCGCCACGGCGGCGACGCTCCCTCCACAGTGGTGGACGCGCCAGCAGACCCGACTGCGGATCGAGGAGTCGCGAGGTTGCATCGCGAGACAGAGCAGGTGCGGCCCCTCCGCCCATGCCCGCACTGCCGCCGTCAGCTCACCACGCGCCGCTCCCCGTGCCGCAGCTTGTGCCAGCCGGCGCTTCGAAACGGCTAAAGCGGAAGCTGAAAAAGAGTGGCGTGGACAATAATGTGTTCCGATGGACGTGAAACGTGGACGACTCGTGCTTGCTTGCTGTGCGCGGTCGGAGGCAGCGCTGCACGCCCTGCGTGCTCTTCGGGACGGGCTCGCCGGGGATCACCAGAGGCGTCGTCGCTCCTCACCCCGGCGGCACGATCCGACAGCGCCTTGGTACGCGTCGCTGCTACGTTGAGTTCAAGAACTTCTCGAAAGGACGTCGCCAGATAGCCCATACGCCAAGCCGAGGCACGGGCAGTTTTGAGACGTCCGGGTCCCCGGCGGCGCCCCTTGCGCATTTAGTACCTTCGGTTGTGATGAAATATTGTGTATTTCTATGAGTTGGCTTCAGTCACAAAGATCACACTAGCCAACATGAGATTTCCCTCTGCTGTATCCGCCCCTCGTCTCCGAAAAGTGCGCGGAGACGGGACGTTTCCCAAAGCCAAACCCCCACACGCGAACCGCTTGACTTGCCAAGGGGCGGGCGCCGGCCGCGGCTCGGGCCACCTAGGGAGAGGCGCCCTGCGCCGCGATGGCGACGATGTCGCCGGCGGTCTGGTAGTCGAAGAGGTACGGGAAGGTGTTTCCGGTCAGGACGGACTGGGTGACAAAGCCGCCAAAGGCGAACATGGCCAGCCGGCCGTTTGCGAGCTCCTTCATCTGGAGGTCCGCCTTCTTGGCCGGGTCGGACGCGAAGCCGAGCGGGTCGAAGCCGTAGTCGCCTGGCTCGCGGCCCGAGCCGCGCAGCATCTGGTCGATCGAGATTGCCGAGAAGACCTCGAGCAGCCCGATCCACAGCAGCAGCTGGCTCATGCCGCCCTGGGCAATGACGGCGTCGTGCGCCTGCGGGGGCGGGGAGGGGCAGGGTGGGCCTCGGGGGTGGGCCTCGGG